TTCTATCTGCCTTAAACTGGAATTGCCCCTCAAAAAAAAAACCATCAGATGACTCCCTGCAAAACCAGCCCGAGAGCCTGGTCTCAACCACAAGTCTGGCGATGAGAGCCATACTCTTAGGGCTTAGGGTTTAGGGCTTTTAGGGTTTAGGGCTTTAGGGCTTTAGGGCTTTAGGGCTTAGGGCTTTTAGTTTAAACAGCAATCCACCACTCCCCCTAACAAACAAAAACACGAAGAACTGCACGAAACCCTCGACTTCTATACTTCTGATCCATAGAGAAGCCCTCCTCCGCCTTCCGCTTAACACCAGTTGCCATCCGCAGCCCGGCTTGAAGCCATGCCGAAGGGGGGCACCTAAGAGTGCGTCGGGTGAGAACTTCTGGTGTGATGAAGCTGCTGCTGGTTTGGGAGTTTAGGGCGATGGTAGGTTATGACAGCTGAAACCGGCTGCCTTTTTGTGATCCTGGTGATGTCGACTTCTATGACGGCTGCGACCAGACGGCCAGTGCTTCTTCTGTCAAAACGATGATGGCTGGCTCAGGTTAGCCGGATTTCTGCTTGTTTGCGAAGTATTAATGTGGATTTACTCGTGTTATGACGAATCATCGTGGATTGGGGGTTGGGGCCAAACCGTCCAGTTCTCTGATGCCCCGCCCTGAGTTCTTTGACTCCGACAGCTCGGTCAATGCAGAACCATAAACCATTTGATCAATAAACTCGTTGTCCTGAAGCACCCTAATAATCCCCAATACTTGGATCCCGGCTTTTTGCCTCATACCAAGAGGAGGTTCATTGATCAGGGGTCGAATTACATTGCCTCTGCCTCAATGCCAAGCCCCGAGCCTGAAATCTTAGGCGCGGAGCAGGGTGAAAATCTGGAACGACGATACGAAAGGCAAATGACAATAATTCCTCTGTTAATCAGAAACACATCCCTTGATAGTCCTCTCAACAAGCGCAGTCCACAATGACAGGTGATTGATGAGGACATGCACACTCTTCCTGGTCGTCGTCATCATCATCAGCAGCATCATCATCCTCTCTTCATCGCCGCTAACGCCAAAACAACCACCAAAATCACGCTCACTGTGCTCCTCATCATTCTGAGCATCATCTGGGACTTTCCGAAAATAGGGGGGTACCTTACTTTGGGGACCTTATAATAAGGATCCTATGTAGGGTACTATATTAGGGTCCCCTATTTTCAGAAACCCCCATCTTCCTCTTGTCCAAATCCACAGTAGATAGCATCGAGGCGCCCATCTTTTGGCCAACTCGTGCGCTGCCCGCATGGTCTGCGACTCTTGCACGTAGTGGAAGCTGATGGGGCACTCCTGGGAACGCCGAGACGTTAGCTGAATGAAGCTCTTTGAGAAAGACATGTCTCGAAAGCCTCAAATGAATTTGGACCTTTCCACATTAAGTTGAATGCTTTGCAGCAAACTCCCAGAAACTCAAAAAGCCTTCATCCAAAAGGCCCCTTAGGTACTACGGCAATACGGTGCTTCTCTGGGCACAGCCAACGAGAGGAGACTCATGTCTCCTTTGCTGAAAACCTGTGTTGCTAGGACTATCTAGGGAATCCAATCTCTGGCTTTTTCTGTTTGTTCTAGTTTGGCTCCGCCGTCTGGGCTTTCATGGCAAGCTGGAAGTTGAGATCGGAAAGCCCCCAAAATGGCGAGAGTGGAGCAAGTGCCTTGCTTTGTGAGGAACTACACTGTGCTTCTAGATGTTGAGGCAAGAGTTTCTCTATGGTCTTATTGCAGTTGTTTTAGTTTTCGTAAGGTTAACACAGCTGTGCACCGACTTTCACAGCTCTCCCTGGTTTCCTGGAAATTCCAGATGTTTCCGGATGTTTCCCCCGCTGGCAAACAATAACCTTTTTAGTGTAGTACCTAATGGGCCTGCTCGACCTCACAGAACCCTAAGACAAAAATATCGCGACCGTAATGATTGCTGTAGCATGAGTTTTTGCGGTATACTGTACCATAACTATGATAAGAAACCCGAGGGAGTACTATTGGTAATCACTCAGGCAAGGGCTACCGTAAGTTTAAACGAGCTACTACATGGGTTGCTAGAATGGGTTACTACAAGGGGTACATTATCAGCTCGCGAAGCTTCGATGTACCAGGCTCCAAGGAAGGAGCCAGGGGAAATGAGGTCCATAGTTAAACGGGCACAAGAGATTGCACTCTGGCCAGCCACGAGGGCTTCGGGGCTTTGCGGGATAGGCTTCAGGGCTTAGCGTTCAAGGTTTTGCAATTGTTGGGCTTGAGGGATTCGCGGAAATTAGGGTTCAGGCTTGAACGCCTGCTTTAAGAATCTTACTTCAGACTCCTGCCTGATTGCATTGACGCACCGCTACCCAGATCACGTCATTCAGTCCCGTAAAAACAACAAAAATCATACTAGTACTAGCAATAACTATAGCAACCAGAAGAATATTAATAATCCCCGTAATGAATTCAGGACAATATTCTCAGATCGAAGTCCGGGCTCTTTGTGAGCCCTCTCTTCAAACCTTAAACCGTCCTCCAGCGTGCCACTGGGCGTATGGAAGAAGCCTTCCAAGGCCTGAAGATCATTTCGGTCTGGAGTGGCTTAAGGCTTCTATGGTGTAGTATTCGGGTTTCGGGTATCAGGCTTATGCAAACGTTTTAGGGTTTCGGGTTCTCGAAGTTTTGAAATTTTGGGGTCTGAGGAGCACAAATCAACAGAAATCCGTGAGACCCCACCACAGAACACAGATCTCGGACCAAGAAAGCCAAGCCGAAGTCTTGAACCAAGACGACAGAGGCCCGGTGTTCGCCACCTTATATCCGAAACCTCATGCCCCTAACCCTAAACCCTAAATCACTAAACCTTGAACACTAAGCCCTTAAACCCTGAACCCCAAGCCGCTATTCGCAGGCGGCTAACGCAAGTGGCACGCGAGCATGATGCCACTGGAATCCAGGTGTGGAGCTTTGGGGCTCTTAGTGCGCTGTTTAGGGTTGAGGCTTTAGGGTTTAGGGTTTGGGCTCTTAGTGCGCTGGAGTGCAGGAATCTGCTACTAGCTACATCATCATCAGCATAATCGCAATGTTAATAGTCGTGAGAACTACTCATAATAGCCATGATAGTAGTAGTAGTAGTAGTAGTAGTAGTAGTAGTAGTAGTAGTAAGTAGTTATCATCATCATAAACGTACACTGTCAGGCAGGCCGCTGTCAAGTTCCATTTCGGATTGCCGACCCTCCAGGGGTGGAGGCCGTGCATCTTGAAAACTTTGGTGCCATTCTGCTCAGCCAAACACTCCTGGCGTGCGGGATGCGGGTTAGGGTTTATGGTTAGGGTTCAGGGTCTAGGGTCATATAGGGGTCCAGAGGTTTTGGGATTCCAGGAGTTTTGGACGTAGTGGTTGCATATTGCCCTTGCTCTTGCTCCGAGCAGCAGAAGCAGCTCATTTGATCTCTTAGGAGTTTGGCAGCCAAACGAGCTCAAATGCAGTGTTCCAGGATTCCCGATCATATTTTTGAACATGTTACCCCAAAACTTGTTCTAATTCTTCAGACTTCTCATGGTGTGACCTATGGACGAGCCTCTTGCAGTACGAAATGTGGTTCGTCAAGATGCGAGAACTGCTGCTGTAATTGCTCACCACGACCACGACGACTATACATTCGATTCGTCGTAGTTGTACTGTCTTATGCCACTCCGGGTGATGCTACTATATTTACAAAGCAGGTATCTGTGTTTGCTTTGGTATGACTTATGCTCATGTTTCTTATCGGATCATGTGGTTCTTCTTTGCATGCTTCGTATGAAGTAAATGTGTAGTATGGTGGTATGTGCAAACGGCGCATTCTGCAGAACATGCTTGGAGGATGTGCAGGGCGCCCTGACGAGCATTGTCACCAGCAAAACCCGTAAGCCCAAAATGCTGCAACATTGCTGAAGAACCTCAGCCCATGAATTCAGGCAACCCTTTGGCCAGGGGGCTGTCGTGACGTCGCAGTAGCGCGTCCTCTGACAGTCGTTCATGTACCTATGCATGAACTTCTCCGTGTCTTTGCCGAGCAGCACCTGGACAGCCTCGTCACGCGGAGGGGGGCCACCAATCCCAAAAGGGAGGGACCCAGAAGCCATCACATATCCCAACCTGTAGCCCTCCCCAGCTCATTCAAGTCGGCCCCGCCCAAACATTGGCCGCGATGGCTTAGGGGGTGTAAGAGTATGTTCCACTCTGAAAACTTTGCATGTTGGCGAAACTCAAACCCTGCCCGAAACGAAGGGATGCCTAGCCCTAAAACGGGATGGCCTTTTGAACCTGGCTAAGGTTCCAGTTTGTGAAGAAAAAAGAGCCGATCCACGCTGAAGAAACGAAGCCTCAATAAACAACGCTCCCGAGCCGTAACCAACAGCGCCCCAAATTCGTCTGGCGGATGCCTTGGCCCTGTATCAACTCAGGCAGGCGTCAGAACTTGCTACAAACGCCAAAGCCGCAGCAAGGCTTGCAAAAAAAAACTCAATCAGTTGAATCCCTGATCATGTCGACACCAATCCCAAACCTTCTCAAGACAACCCAACAAGGTAGACAGCCTTCGCACTCAAGGCGTAGCCACCACCACCGCAGAAGCCACACGGACGGCCCTTCGTCACACAGCCTGGGGCCGAGCATTTAGGGGTCTTGCTCCTCCAGTGCTATGACAAAGACTACGGCAACAACTACGGCTACGACGACGATTACGACCTCCGAGAACCGGAGGCCTCAGAAGGTGGGATGAAGGCAGGTAGAATTGAGGATCCCTTATATAAGTACTATTATGCGGGAATATCCCACCTACCTTCATCCGACCTTTTGAGGCCTCCGAGACTACTGCTGGTACCATTCTTGTTGCTGCACATCGTTCGTTATACTGCTGCTGCAGGTCCCACCACTAACGACGACCACTCGGTTCGAACTCTCAATGTGGGCCCTACCCTACACCTCCTAAGCCATCCAAAATGACAAGTGGGGCCTGGTCTGTAACCTGCAAGCCCTATACGTGCCAACCCGAAGATAAGGCTCGAGAGCCCTAAACCCCCCTACTTTGTGACAATAACGCCCATGGAGCTCTCAAATTCAGTTACCACTGCCGCATTGGCCCATCGAGGGAGAACGTCTGGCACGGATCGTTTCATAAGGACCGAAATTACGCGTTTAGGATTGAGGGGCATTAGGGGTTTAAGGTGTAGGGTCTAGGGTTTAGGCAGTCCGGCCCCGACCCTCAAACCCCTAAACTCCTGAACCCCTAAACCCCAAAACCCCAAACCCCGAAACCCAAAGCCGCTGAATCCAAAACCCCTAAACCCCTAAACCCCCAAACCCTAAACCCCTAAACCAAAAAAACCCTAAATCCCCCTAAACCCCTAAAACCTCGAGGGGGCCTGTGATACCATATCCCAAAGCTGCTATCTGCAGCTCCGATCGGGGATGGAGGCGGGCCAGCACGCGCCTGGACTGTGCGGGATTTTGAAAAATGTTGCAGAGCTTCGGGTTCGGGGCTTAGGGGTTTTAGCGTTTCGGGTTGAGGTGACAGTTTCAGGTCAAGGGGTTTCAGGTCTGAGGGTTGAGGGCTGTCGTTTGGATGCAAGGGGGTTCTCTACATAAGAAGCATCTGTTAGACTTTGTGAGCTTGGTTTTGCGATCTAAGGTCCCTGTCCAAGATTGTTGACTGAGGCTTAAGGCTCAACGATGCGTGTGGATTTCATGTCGGCGACCACTCCTTCATGCAGGCTCTTTGCGAGGTCCCGAGCGCATCAAGAATCAAGAAGTTAATTGAAAAAGGACCTCGAGAAAGGACCCACCAGAACGGGTTTAGGGTTTTGTGTTTAGGGTTTAGGGTTTAGCGTTTAGGGTTTGGGCTTTAGGGTTTAGGGTTTAATGTTTAGGGTTTATGGCTTAGGGTTTAGGATTCGATCCAAACCGGGAACACCTCAAAGGCCCGACTGTCGGAGCCGGAGGATCCAAAAAGTAGATCCTTTAGGGGGTTTGGTATGAAGTACCCTGTAGTAGCGCAGGGTCCCAAATCAGGGGATCTACTTGTTCGATCCTCCCGGCGCGGGTCTGGGAAACTGAAACCCTAAACCCTAAACCCTAAACCCTAACCCTATGCCCTCGTAGTACCCTTTAATTTGAAGGCCCGGTCGCCGGAACCCTCAAACTGAACTCTTGCAATCCGCAGACGGCCTGTAAACCCAAGATGAAAATGAAGGGTTTATAGAATTTTAGGGTTTGGGGGTTAGGGCACGTAGCGCATTTAGGGCTTTTAAGGGGGTTGGGGGTTTACGGTTCTAGGGTTGAGGGCTTTACATAGGGGTTTAGGGTTGGGTTTGGGGATCAAGGGCTTAGGCTTTCGAGTCTCAGGAAACCTCGAAGCCCGAAAAGCCTGCTGCGAATCAAGCGGTAAAATCAGTCAAGCCTTTATCCTGGAGCCACCCGACAAGTTGAATTAAACGACCCTACGCTCAGAAGCCTCGCATTAAAGAACCGCTACACCAAAGGTGTGAGGCTTTCTGGCCTCAAGTTGTCGACCACCACGTAAACGTCATCATCCACAATGAAGACCCAGTCGAAAGTACGGTTCCTGGAGATGCTGTCGTGCCGGATGCCGGAAAGTACTGCACTGTCTAGTGTGTATTCTTTCCAGGGGGGCTAGGGTTTCTGAAAGGCTGTCGAACTTAAAGGAACCCGTGCAGCAACCCTTATAGTGACAACACAAAAAGGACCCTCTAAAAAACGCCCAGACTCTGCATCTGGATGAGTGCGTTGGCCTCGACACAGCAGACCTTCCCAAGGCGAGGCACTGCAGCGCCGTAGTGGCTGCTGTAGTGCTAGCCGGCAGCAGTAGCAGCAGTAGTAGCAGTAGTAGTCGTCGTCGTCGTGGTTAGCAGTTAGCAGTAGTAATAGTAGCACTAGCAGAAGCAGAGTAGCAGTAGCAGCAGCAGCAGCAGCAGCAGCAGCAGCAGCCGCAAGTAGTAGGGGAGGAGGAAGCGGAGTAGAAATGGTAGAAGAAGTTATTGTTGGTGGTGTTGTTGCTGTAGCAGTAGTCGTCGTCGTCGTCGTCGTCGTCGTCGTCGTCGTCGTCGTGGGCGTCGTCGCCGTAGTTGTGGTAGTAGTGGCAGCAGGGGTAGCAATAGCAGTAGCGCTAGCAGCAGTGAAGTAGTAAGAGCAGGAGAAGGAATAGTGCTAATAGGTGGAGTGGTCGTAGCCGTCATTAGCCGCTGTCGTCGGCAGAGTAGAGGTAGCAGCACCAGGAGTGCTCTCAGCAGAGCCTGAAGGCCAGAATTGCACCACCTAGCGTCTACGTGAAAAGCACAACAGATGGTTCCTCAAGAAGCCTTGACCCCCAAAGCTCAGGCTGTAGGATCTAATCCCTGAAATGGCGGAAGGGGTTGCTGTCCCAGATGCACCCATATCGTGGTTGTCCGGACAATGGAACTCCTCAGATGGACAGCCCGTGGACCAGAAAACCATTTGGGGTTTGGAGTTGACGGCTTAGGGTGTAGGATTGAGGCTGTCTACGACCCGAGAATAGCTTTTTCGACTCAGTGAACATGGCACTGACGTCCGGGATGTGCACACCGCTTTGCAGGCTATGTTCGGCTTCGCATTACTACGGCGGCTTATGCAATCAGAAAAGGATTTAGGGGGCATCTTATGGATAGTCGGGACTACAATTTATAAGAAAATGTTGTTTCCAAGTGTTCCGACCCCTGTATCAGTTAAACAAATGGAGTGAAAAACCAAAACAGTGACTTAAGAAGTGGATCGTTGACTACTTGCTGCTGTTGGGAATCTGCTCCTGACACGGATGGTAACGTAATTTGTGTCTGCCATCATCATGACTTTCATCATTCAGATCTATGCTTAGAGTTTAGGGGTTTAGGGTTTAGGGTTCTCGAGTTTAGGGAGTTTAGGGTTTAGGGTTTACAGTTTCGGGTCTAGGGCTCAGCTAGCATTTGGCGACTTGCAGCTTAGGCTTCTCGGCTTCGGATTTACGGCCTTCGGTCTTATGCCGTCCGGTATCATTTGCTTTGTGGAAACCCTACACCCTAAACTCTGGGAAACCCGAAACGACTTGTGTTATAGGGATGGGCTTTAACCATCAATCTGTAGTCGATCTCTATACATATGCAAACATGCTACATGAATCCTGAAGGGCTGGGCGTCGCGGCCAATCAGCGACAGCATGTACACTCTCGCAAACCCGAAGACCCTACATCCCACCTTGCAGCCAAACAGAGAAGACCAAGCTAGAACTTCAAAATGCCGAAAGAAGCTCGAGAAATCGTAAGCCCGCTAAGCTGCTAACCAATAACATTTACTTATCGAACTCTACACTTCGAAACATAGCCAGGACTCATGGACCGACTCCATGTCCCTCTTGGCCAGCGCTTTGTCTGCTGCAAGCGTAAAGGACGTCACGAAGAGGTCCTGCTCAGACTTGCGCGTTTGCCGTGGAGCGGAGCATCTTAAGATTTCCAAGTTGCAACAGCCCTGCGAGCAAAATCGCAAGCCCATTGCCAATTTGTTAGCCCCCCCCCCTAACCCGAAACATCCCTAAGCCCTAAACCCTTTACCCTAAACATACCCAGAACGCCCTAAGCCAGACATCTCAAAGACCTCAAAGGACACGCGACTCCCAGGACTGTCCTCCCTGGGGATATCGTTCATCCAGGTATCCAGCTGGCCCTGTAAGCGCGTCCCGTACTTCCGGGGCTGCGCGCGTGTGATGTAGATGATCCGAAGATCCTCCATCGGAGAGTGCTGGGTAATATGGGAAACGCGAAACACTTAGAATAGGGCTTTAGGGGTACATGTTGTTATATTTACAAGAATAAGCCCAAAGAAGAATCTTGGTAAATATTCAGGCTTCAGGAGTGCACAGGACTCAGTGGCACATCCCTGCCGAAAGTTGGGCCTAAGTGTCCTGGCTCCTAGACGCTGGGCCAAGACACCAAAAGCATGAAACTGAGAACTCCCAATCCCCTTTAATTAATCCCAAACCCTATACCTAACAAACCGCCGAGCAAACCCAAACCCCTAAACCCTAAACCCAAACCCCGCAACCTCAAGCCGCAGCCGCTAAACCCTAAGCCCAAAACCTCGAACCCCGAACCCGTAAACCCTAACCCGGACCCCAAACCCACCTAAAGCCTAGAATCCAAGCTGTCTCCCAGGCACCTGGAGGTCCGCCGCTAGCTGACAGGTCCCTCTGTAGGCGCGGTAGAGGCTAAACGCCAGGGTCCCGGCAACTGAGAGCACGAGGCAGGTGAAGACACCCATCCGTACCTTCTGCTGCTTTAGGTGTTGTTCTTCCTTTTCCTTTCTTTGAGAAGTGGTGGGTTTTAGGGTTTAGGATTTACCATTCGCACCTTCTGCTGCTTTGGGAACTTTTGGTGCTGCTCTTGCGCTTCTTTTGGTGGAGAGGGTGGGGTTTAGGGTTTGGGGCTTACCCATCCGTACCTTCTGCTGCTTTAGGTGTTGTTCTTGCTCTTCTTTTTGGAGAGGGCGTGGGGTTTAGGGTCCAGGGTTTACCCATCCGTACCTTCCGCTGCTTTAGGTGGTATTATTGCCATTTTCTGTTTTTTTTCTCTGGGATTTAGGGCTGAGGGTTCCATTGGCTCACCGAAGCCAACCGCCCTCAGTGCCAAAAGCCCTGTACACCCTGAAATGTCAAATACACCCGCAAGCCAGTCCCCCAACAGCAAGCCCCTAAACCGTAAGCCCAGCCTTACCTCTTCATTTGGTACTGTAGCACCCCACCCCTCAATCCCTCAACTCAATCACTCAACCCTAAACCCTAAACCCTAAACCCTAAACCCTCAACCCTCAACCCCTCAACCCCCTGAACCCCGAACCGTGAGATCTCACCGAGGCCCTGGCCTTGCACAGCCGAGACTGACATGTGCCGAGCCGGCCCAATGCAGCTTCTTTCACATCAGACTCCACCTGGCAATATAGGCGCGCTAACAATCCGAATAAGGTTTTGAGGCAGAGTAGTTATATAATTCGTGTGGTTATGACAAGGAACCGTAAGGAATGCCATCGGTAATTATTCCGGCGACTACATCTACCCTCAAGCCTGCCATCTACAAACCTGTGAACTCCCAAGACAAGGCTTGTAGCTCAGCTCTCCGGGTCAGCTGCCGTATACCCCAAAGCCCCACAGAGTGGTGTCCTAAGCCCGGCAATCCTCATAAGCTGGTTTAGAAAACCCTAACCGAAACTGCTTAGGGTTTAGGGTTTAGGGTTTAGGGTTTAGGGTTCAGGGCATAAACCCCAAAGGGTTTAGGGTTTTGCGAAGAACTCTCTTTGGTGTTCCCTGCCAGGTGCCTGGGACTCTGTGACAGGAAGGTAGGGCTTTGCCCTCTGGTCCGCACAGGACGAAGCAGTCGCGCCGAAAGCTCCCAAGCCTGGGTTGCTGTCAAGGAGTTTATGGGTTCAGGGTTTAGGGTTTAGGGTTCAGGGTTTAGGGCTTAAGGTTCAGGGTTCAGGGTTTGGGGTTTAGGGCTCTATTGCACGTTACCATAATGGCGGAACCAAATTAATTACTACAGCTATGGCGGAACCAGATTAAGTGCTACATGTATGGGCGACCCATATTGCATAAGTACTATATTTATACGGTAACCATATCCATTGCTGTCTTTCCCCTTTGTGGTAGCTGACAACAAGCTCCGTAACAGCAACCCAGCAGCCGAAGGAAAGCAGAAGAAGCATCAGGGTCCTGCTGTGCAGGGTCGAGGCAACGACTCCTTTAGGGTCTGTAGGTTTAGGGGTTTAGGTCATAGGATTGAGACGCGGTGATCCCAGCTAGGATCCTAATTCCTGGGTTTAATGTTTTTATGGAAATATTATGGAATTATGGAATAGATATGAAACGGAAGATGTTGGAAAATGTGGAAAACATATGCTTGGATTGTGCTTGGATTTGGGGGCTACTCTCATCAATACGCTTTGGCTTCAGGCTCGCCTCGGTGCAACAATGGCTTGTTGAACGCTTCGGCAGACCAGCAACTGCACGATCTCAACTCCGGGCTGTGCTTTGCAAGGCAACCAAAATAAGGTAACAAATCGCCTGGAGTCAGAAGGAGGAGGCTGCTGTACTAGCACATTGATGTCGAGACTTGCTAGCACATGCACTATTACGAAGAGTCAAGTACCACTCCGGCGATGGCTGTTGCTACTTGCAGCTGCCGCCGTAGCCGTGTGCTACCCCCAGAACCCAGAACTGTCATTAGGGCGTTGAACCTGCTCACATGTGCACATCCGCTTGCATGAACATCTGAAGAAAGAAGATCGCTGCTGGAACAAGCACAGAACACAGCAGCCGATGGACTCTGGGCCCCAGGATTTTGGCATTGAATGCTGAATCAGCGCAGGTTGAACGAAGGGTCAGAGGCCCTCAACATTCCTTAACAGTCCTGTCTAACCCAGTATCCACCCCTGAACTGTTTATGAGACAGCCCAGCTCACAAGAACGCATCCTGTGACCCTGCTTCCAAAGCTTCTGCACTCCAGCCAGCAGATGGCAACTGCCATCACCTGCAAAAACTTCGCTGCTCGGATCTTTGGGCAAGGTGCAGTCATGTGTTATCTGTCTAACAGACAGTGCAAGCAGCTACAACTTCTTCGAGGGGTTCTATAGGGATTTATGGGGATTACTGGGTACTCTGGGAGCCTTAATAAATAGAGTTGGGCTTTGAGCTGTGACATCTGGTTTCGCCCCTAAACACCGCTTCTTTCTCCACAACACAAAAGGGCTCAGCTTCCCTAAACCTTGAACCTTGGAGTTACAGCGCTCCTCCTTGAAGCAAGTGTAACTCAGACAGGGGGGGGGGGGGGGGGGG